GCTGTGCTGACATTCTGGATTGAAGAAGGAGAAGAAAGTTCAACAACTTCAGCAATAAAAAAAAAACAAAAAAAAAAAAACATAAATGTGTTGTTAATGTAACGTCATTTTTTGTATTAGTTTGGTTGAATTGGATCATCGAAGGTCAGCAGCAAAGACATAATACATCTAATCTAATAAAGTGATATTAAATACATAAAGTATGTTTGTGTAATTTAACATTTAATCAATGCAAGTTTACGTAGTTTGTATTTCACTGGTTTTATTCATTTTGAGGAATACTGAATCTGTTTTTGTGTAAGTGAGATGAGAAAATGCCTGCTCACATTTAGTCTTAGAACTAATGTACAATAGTCATCTTGATTTCTCTCAATCAATAAATGGGGAAAAAGTGTTGGTTATTTGAAAAAGTAACTCAGATAATTTGTTGTAAATTTAAAAGTAATGCGTTTCTTTACTAGTTACTTGAAAAAAAGGAATCTAATTACGTAACTTGTGTTACTTGTAACGTGTTATCCCCAACACTGTCTAATAATATAGATTTGAAAGCTAATAGTTTACAACTGTTTTTGAATAGTCAGTGTTGCGCAGTTAACATGATCTGGCTATAAAAGGCCTATTTATGTACACAAAGCCGGTTTAGTGTTCTTCAAAAAAGCTCACTAGAGATTCATCTATTTCCAGTATTTAAAACACATGCAAATGCTGATAATCTTGTGGCCAGATAAAACATTAAAAAGACATCCACTACTACTCCAGACCGTTTGATCAGAGATAATATCCATGGCAGTGTCACCTTTGAGGTTTCGCAATTGGTTACACAATTGTTGCTTCACTGAGACATGTGTAAGAGTGCAAAGATGTTCGGAACACTTGTATTATGATAAACACTGCCGTTCGAAAGTCTTTTTAAAAGAAATTAATACTTTTATTCAGCAAAGCATTGAATTAAAAAAGTTGATTAAAAGTAGACCCAAACTTTAAAGAAACCAGTGCTCAGGAGTCATATTAATTCAGGCTTGCCAGTATTCTCTGACCGAAATGGATGGGAAAGCAGCAGGCGGTGTGGATACACACAGAGGAGTGTGATCTAGGATTGGGTAAACATTGTCTAAAAACCTTGGGAGTAAACCAGATGTGTGTGTGTGTGAACGGGTGTAACCCTTCACTGCCCCATTATCCCTACACAACAATAGGTAAATTGCCAGAGACGTTCCCACCCTAACTGAAGTGTCACTGTTGATTCTGCAGCATTAACTGGTCAACAAGTGATCATGCAAGACGACATCAGCCACAAACACTGAATTATGCATAGTATATGAGTTGCATTACTATCGCCTGTGCTCCATCTGACCCTTACCCAGACTTGATTCAGTACACACTATGTACTAATGAAATCTTGCACAATTTAACAGTATTCGGAAACAAGTTGGTTTTGAATAGCTTTATTATTTAAGCTTAAAAATAAATAAAGCTCTGTCATGTAGCAATGTGATCATTGTGCTAAAGTTGAATAGCTCTATTCATTCATTAGTATAAGCAGATGCATGACACAGAGCAGTGTTGTTTTGGTATCATTGAAATGCTATTTCAGGTTTTGTTAATATTTTGAATTAGATTTTGTTTTTATATTTTCTGTTTAGATTTGAGTTTTAGTTCAAATGTAACTTTTTGTGTTTTTGCCATTTTTATTATTTTATTATATAGAGACTGACACATTCTGACAAATTGGTGGCCAATTCATATTATTTGTACAATCTCCCTTGTACATTTTCATACGATGTGCTCATGCCTCACTGATGGTTATGGACATAGCTTTTTGTTAAAAACCATACATTCCCCTATAAGAATCACATCGTACAAATTCATACAAACTATTGAAATAGTTATGTTTTCTCACAAGATCGGGTTGGAGTGTGAGTGCTGTTGTATTTTTAGATTTTCAACTGCAGTCAAGTACACAAGAACTTCTCTGAATAAATTATAATGCTAAAAAAGCTAATTCCATTAGCACCAATGACTCTACAATGCACTTTTAACGGTCGGTTTACCCCACCAGATATTCTAACAGTCAGGCTAACCTACAATGTATCGGCAAAGTTTGTAGAAGAATGTCACAACAACTTTGTCAAGAGTCACTTATAACGGGAATTGCTGGTAAGTTTCATCATCCCCTAAAGTCAGTTTCCTTACTCACATATTTTTTCTTCTTCATCCAAAAACAGTCTCTGCTCAAACATAGTTCCTGTTTCACAGGAAGTAAACCAGAAACTAATAGCTACTAATGCATTAGCTTAGTAAGAGAGAAAAACCAGTGCACTTCGGGGACTCCCCTTGAGGTTTTTCAGGTGAAACGCATGGAGAAATGACTTAATCTGTCAATTTAATATGTGCTCTTGGTACTTTTTAAAGGGACAAGAAAAGATCCAGCAAAAGAACAGCTATATGAACAGTAAAAATGTTTCTCTCATACATGAATCCCAAACAAGCTTAGTACAAAAACTGTCCCTCCGATTGGTGTATAAGCAGCTTAAGTGGGAGAAACATCTGCTAAAATGACAAGTAACTAAGTCCAAAAGTCGAGGTTTCAGTTCCCTTCACAGTCCACAGGTATTAATAATAATAATAATAATTCGTTACATTTATATAGCGCTTTTTCTGGGACCTCAAAGCGCTTCACATATGGAAGGGGGAATCTCCTCAACCACCACCAATGTGCAGCATCCACCTGGATGATGCGACGGCAGCCATATTGCGCCAGAACGCCCACCACACACCAGCTTACTGGTGGAGAGGAGACAGAGTGATGAAGCCAATTAGTATATAGGGATGATTAGGAGGCCATGATGGACAGAGGCCACTGGGCAAATTTGGCCAGGATGCCGGGGTTACACCCCTACTCTTTTTCGAAGGACATCCTGGGATTTTTAATGACCACAGAGAGTCAGGACCTCGGTTTAACGTCTCATCCGAAGGACGGCATGTTACATCATAAACTAAATATGAAAACTGTGTTCTCAGAAACAGGGAAGGAATGTGTATTCAATGAATTTGGATGTTTATGGACACTTAAAGGGTTAGTTCATCCAAAAATGAAAATTCTCTCAGCATTTACTCAGCCTTATGTCATTCTAAACCTAAATGCATTTCTTTCTTCTGCAGAAATTTTGAAGAATGCTGCTGACCAAACAGTTTTGGTTACCATTGACTTTCATTGAATGAGAAAAAAAAAAACCACTGAGACATTTCTCACAATATCGTCTTTTAAGTTCCACAGAAAAAAGAAAGCCATACGACATGAGGGTGAGTAAATGAAGACAGAATTTCCAGTTTTGGGTGAACTATTCGTTTATATCATATTTTAAAGTGTCAGATTGCTTTAGAAACAAAATGTCAATCTGAGTGGCTTTTCTTAAAGGATTATTTCACTTAAAAATTTAAATGTTGCCATCATTTACCCTTAAGTTGTTTCAAAGCTGTATGATTTTTTTTTCTTCTGCTGAACACAAAAGAAGATATTTTGAAGAATGTCGATAACCAAACAGTTGATGGAGCCCATTGACTTCCATTTTATTTTTTTCCTACTATGGAAGTCAAAGAGGTCCATCAACTGTCTGGTTACCAACAATCTTCAAAATATCTTCCTGAATACATACAGGTTTGAAACAACTTGAGGGTGAGTAAATGATGACAGCATTTTCATTTTTAAGTGAACTATTCCTTTAAGTTATAACTATCTTATAGCGGCCTGCTACCCCCCTCCACATCCCAATGAATTTTGTATATTCTACAACTAGATTTACGATGTTGATTGAACGGCTATAGTAGTGTGTAAAGCAAACAGCCGCTGTTTGCTCCCCACACAAACCTACTGTACATAGAAGTTGAGGTGACAGACTTCTCATTCAACTGCAGCTCACAGCTACACCTTTAATACACAATTCATGTACCGTTACAGGATGCTTATTATACGGAGGACCACCTGTAGATCATACAAAATTTAGGCTATTCCAAATGTAGCCTACTTCTACATTTCAAATGATAAAAATCCTGAAACAATGTGATGAAACCTCCCATACAATCAACATAAACAGATGGATAAATAAAATCATGTTAATGGATTACTCTATTAACTTAACTCTAAAATCTTTACTAGAGATCCCATTATCAGTCACATGCAAAAGTATTTCCCCAAACATAGACTTCATGCAAATTTATGCTGTCCAAACTTTGCCTCCACTCTCACTCTCAGGAAGGATTTTTAGGACATGAAAGCCCTCTCAGAGGTTTCTCCTTTGTTCAGCTGGTCCTTTGACGGTAGACCTACGTCTTCATTCAAGTAAATGTTTGCAAATGAGCCTGTTCCAGTTACAGCTAGTTTAACCTCCTCCTTCAAATGGTAGGGCTCAAAATGAACAGGCATTCATAACAAAGCTGAACGGGATCTTAATCACTTGATCTCGTTTCCTAATGAACTGAGGGGATTAAAAAAGAGATTTGCTGATGCAATCACCATGTAATATTTAAATTCAACTTATTCAATGTAGCAACCTACTTTTCTTACAATAACAATAGTTTCAGAAGCATTGCAATTTGCATGAAAAAAAATCTAGTTCGTTTTGCTGTTTTTTAAAACCAAGAAGCAACTCAACATAATGCTTTTTTTCTATAAAAAATAATGAACATGGCTTTAGTCCTTTTAGGCTTCATCACAAAATGTTGAATTTAAATAAGGTCACATTCTGCAAATAAAAGTACACATTTTCAGGAGAGTGTTCACGTCTGAAGAATCTTTGTTAAAAAAAAATCCATATGAAATTTAATGTCATTAGTATGAAAACTAAACGCCGTAAACATGAAACTTGCGTCAGCTATTTAAACCCAAGGAAAGACTGACGTCCAAATACGTCAGTGGTCCAGGCAGCCAATCGCAGCGCACCACGACGGTAGAAAAAGAACGCGAACGTTTCCACATCTTCAATGTTCAGAGATCGAAGGGAGAAGTTAATACGGGAATAAAAGACGATTTTTTTTTTGCCATTTTCCCCACCCCTAAACAATACAGAAAGGGGTCTTTACACACATCCCAATCCAGAAAATCATACAGCATGGTCGTAGTTACAGCAGGGACCGGAGGAGCCCACAAAGTCCTTCTGATATCGGGGAAACAGAGCGCTTCGACACAGGGCGGATACAGCCGTTCAATATCTGTCATGATACCGAGCCAAGCCTCTTCAGACTCCGACTCCACCGTCTCTGGACAACCACTGCGAAAAAGGCAGAGACTCACACATCTGAGTCCAGAGGAAAAACAACTTCGAAGGTGAGACGAGCTGGGATTTATTTTGATCAGCCTTTAATCTCTTTAGTTTGGGTTAAACCGAAATAATTCAATAGAGTTTCCATATTTAGGTTCATGTACTTCATATATTGACGTTCTAATATGTAAACTTAACGAATTGCTAAAAATGAACCAATTTGACACTTCCATATGGAAGATTTTGAGTCCCAGCCAAGATTAGTTGGTTTTGCCGGTCAGTCCCTCCCCCTCTGAATCTATATCCACATCTTGCCTGCGTGGCATGAACATGACCGCGCATGCGCCATTTCCTCAACACTGTCTGACCTGCCAAAATGGGTTGCTTGCTTAATATAAAGGAAATGTTTAGTTTGTTTTATATAAAGTAGTTATAGGAATGTATACATATAAATTGAATAAATAGAAGTGTATAATTCAGTAAAAAAATGTCATGTCCCAGATAAATCTTATATTTATTGTTTAGCCAAAAATGTGTGTTAAACCGGTACAAATTTATTTTTAGGAAACTGAAGAACAGAGTTGCTGCACAGACAGCAAGAGACAGAAAAAAGGCCAAAATGGGGGAGTTGGAGCAGCAGGTTTTGGAGTTGGAGCTCGAGGTACTTTGGCTGACCCTCATCAGTTTTTTCTTCTTCTTTTTTTAGTTCCATCTAATGTGCAAAGCAGATTTTAATTTTGACGTGTTTTCCACAGAATCAGAAACTCCATTTAGAGAACAGGCTGTTGCTAGAGAAGACGAGCGATCTGATCTGTGAGAATGAGGAGTTGAGACAGAGACTGGGGTTGGATACCTTGGAAGAAAAAGAGCAGGTAAAAAGACTGTCAATCAAACTGGGTTTGTCATTCTATTGGTAGTTGCTAAACGGGTGGTTAACAGAGCTGTAAGTATTGTTTTTGTTTCCACTTCCCCAATTACGCCTCTCATTCTCTTTTAGGTTCAGGTACTAGAGTCCGCAGTGAGCGATTTGGGTTTGGTGACCGGGTCTTCTGAGTCCGCAGCACTCAGGCTACGTGTGCCTCCGCAGCAGGTGCAGGCCCAGCAGTCCCCAAATCTGACGACTTCACCATGGATACTCACAGCCCTGGCCCTGCAGACACTGAGGTAAATATCCTGCCGTTTTGGCTCTTGGTTTTCTGCGGTCATTGACCCTTTACACTGCAAGCAAATCTCATTGGCCTTGAGAGTTTCATCTCACTAATGACTTTTTACTGTACCGACAAGAACTAACTTTGAATTTTCATGTCTCCCGCAGTCTGATCTCTTGCTTGGTATTCTGGACATCCTTGACCCAGAGCTCTTCCTCAAGACAGATCTCACAGAAGCACAGGAAGCCCAACAGGAGTTTGAGCTGGTTGGGGGTGCAGGAGAGCAAATACCTGCCTCCCCACCTACGGCTTTGGGGCCCGCACCAGTTAAGCTGGAAGCCCTTAATGAACTGATCCACTTCGACCACATCTACACCAAACCCGCAGAGGTGGTGAGCGAGGAGAGCATTTGCGAAGTCAAAAATGAGGATTCCGTTGTCTTTGAGGTCGATGAAGAAATCGAGTTGGAAGACCAAACGGTGTCTGTTAAAGACGAACCAGAGGAAGTGGTCATCCCTGAGACGGATCAGAATCCAGACATGGTTGACGATTTCCTCTCCGACGCCTCTTCCTTCAGCGGCTACGAGAAGGCTTCGTGTCTGACGGATGCGTACAGTGACTCTGGATACGAGAGATCTCCCTCCCCCTTCAGCAACATTTCATCCCCTCTCTGCTCTGAGGGCTCTTGGGATGACATGTTTGCAACTGAACTCTTTCCCCAACTGATTAGTGTCTGAAAGTTTAATACAATATCCAATGCGCCTGCCTTTGCTCTTTTATTGTAAGGGATTGCTATGTGCTTCATAACGATAGTAAGACCGTAGCGTATAACCCCTCTTGCGATTTAGACCAAAGGCATTGCTTTAAGGCCAATACGGCAGGTCTATTTGTGTGCAAGATTCGCCGCGACACTATGTACAGTTCAAACGCAACTCAGTATTTTTGTCGGGGAAGGGGATGGGGGTAATCGTTTTAAAAAGTACATCTATTTATTTGTGTATCTCTCTTTTCTAGAGTTCTGTAATGAAATCCGTCTCGAATGCTTAATACACATCTTATTTTTATTGTAAATGCTCTCCTTAATCATATTGCATTAAAAAAAAATCTGCATTGCATAACATGCTTGGTTGTCTGACTTTTGGAATTTGAACGTGCCAGAGCTCTTATCTACTTTCTGTTCCAAACATTTTTAGCTCCCTTTAAAGATAGTTCACCCGATATATATATTTTTTTAAATTCAAGTCGTTCCAAACCTATTTTGTCTTCTGCAGAACACAGACGATGTATATATTTTTAAATGTTTCAGGAGTTTGTGTTCATTAAACGGGGTCTTAAACTACACTGGACCTCATTGACTTTAAAGGGATAGTTCACCCAAAAATCAAATTAGTCATTTACTCCCCCTCAAGTTGTTCCAAACCTGAATGAGTTTCTTTCATCTGTCGGTATTCATATTACTATGGAAGTCAAAGGCTACCTTTGACTGTTTGATTACCAATAATCTTTAAAATATCTCCATTAATTGTAATTTGTGATACAAAAACCATATGCAATTAAAAATACAAAGTCATACAGGTTTGGAACAACATGAGGACAATGATGACTACTGGTAATTACATTTTTAGGTGTACTTTTTTTTTTTTTTAATGCACTCAATTGCTTCACTAAGATTGTGGGGTGAATTATTTCTCTAAGCAAGTGACAATCATCAAATTTAGTGGTAAATATGTTATCTAAACTGGAAAATCAGCATTAACTCTCTTTACCCTGAATGTACACGTGAAGTGCTTGTGCAAATGGTGAGTATTTTTGGTTCCAGTACCAGGTCACGTTACCCTTGGGACTTTGCCATCTGCTTTCTGTACTTTTCTAAAACAAGAGGTGATAAGATAGGCTTCAAATGTAAACGATTACACAACGCCAATCATGTCAAAACTGCTTTTTAATCTGATTACTCAGAGGCATGTTAACACTGGCAATGGAAGTTCTGTTCTTTTTGCAAAAAAGCTTCTATATCTGTTGAAATGTTACCCGAGATTCTGTTTCAGTCAAAAGTGGGCCAACTGGGATGTATTTTGACTAAAGGGTGGTGTAGGATGGTTTACACCTTTTTATACCCAGGCTAATTCAATAAGCTTGGTTTCTCAGAGTAGGGTGGAGACTGGGGAGGAGGACAGATCTCCAAAAGCCCCTAGAGGCTTAAATTCCAGGCGACACCACACTTTTAAAGATATTGCAAGTTGAGTCTTATGCTCACCAAGGCTGCATTCATTTGATTAAAAATACAGTAATACTGTGAAATATTGTTGCAAGTTAAAAACTTATTTTAATATATTTTCCTTCATGTGATTGCAAAGCTGAATTTTCAGCATCATTACTCCAGTCTTCAGTGTCACATGATCTTTTAGAAAACAATTGAATAAGCTGATTTGGTGGTGAAGAAACTTATTTCTTATTATCAAACTTTAAAACAGTTGTGCTGCTGCATATTTTTTTCTGTGGAAACCGTGATACATTTTTTTCAGGATTCTTTGATAACAGGAAAGGTAATAAGAACAGCATTTATTTGAAATATTAATATCTTGTAGCATTATAAATGACTTTACATTAACTTTTACTCAATTTAATGCTGAAGTAAAGTTATTATTTTTATTTTACTACGCCCAAAGTGTTGAAGGGTAGTGTACAATCAAAAAAAGTAACGCAGGTATGTGATGGTTCTCTTTCAAACAAAACATTTTCACCAAACATCTTTTTTGAAGAAGAAATCTTTCTTCATACACTTGTCGTATTTGTAATACCACATTGTGGTGCATCTCGTCTCATCCTGTATGTCACATCGGGTGAAGTTGAGGTGAGAAAATTCATGTCGTTTGATGTTGCGAAGTTACTTTCATGACAGCGCAGAAGAGCGGAAGGCGTGGATTGTGGGTTTTTGTTTCTTGTGAGCTAAAATATAAATTGTAGAAGCAAGACATACCACATGGATAGGCCTACATATGCTAACATTACTGACTATGGATTAACAAAATCTTTGGTCAGACATGTAACATCATCGTTAATTCTCAAAATATACTTATAGGCCTATATACTAAAGCACAGGCTCAAATTAGAATGTTATTCAAGGTCTTAAAATGACACTATCATCACCTTGGTTGATTGAGATAAATCCTACAGTAACTCTCATCTTACAGCCACAGTTACAGAAGTTATGCCAGCAGCTGATGTGACACTGGGAAATACCCACAAACGCCCCACCAGTCTCAGTTTCAGGGACTATCTACATCTGACTTTAAACATAAAAATAACAAACTACCACATTAGATTTTTCAATATTTTTTTTTTACTTGCTCATGAAAAACCCTCCACCACAATGCTAGGGTGTTGAGAGTGGTTGACTGGGCATTCTGGGAGTTTTTTTGGCTCATATGCAGGAGGTTGCGTATTGCACCAAGCCCCTCCTTCTATTGACAATTTTATTGTCTGCCAAATGAAAATTGAAAGACTGACATCTTAGAAAAGTAATGTATCCAAAATTGACATATTGCCTGACGTCAACTCAAACACAAATTTATGTCTCGGCACAGAAACATGCATCAGGTCAGAAGGAGAAACCATGCTGGGATGTATTACAGATCAAAGTCAGCTGTGAAGAAGCATTTATGCTGAATATTTTTTCAGCTCAGAGAGGGATGAGAATAGACATGTGATGCGGAAGGTCAAACAGGGCAACAGCTTTCACAGAGATTAAGTTCTCAAGTCTTTGAAGAACATTCAGAGTTTGTGAGTGTTTTCATGCTAAAGAGTGTTTTCATCTCTTAAAGCTGCCGTCGGCAACATTTTTTTGATCATATTCAGTGAAATCGACACTATAATCTGACAGAACAACATAAATAAAGTGGTTTTAGAAAAAAACCCCAGCTTCTAACTCCACCTGGAGCGTGTTATTTGTTTTGCAAAAATCCACAGCTCCCGGTTCATCATGTCCAATCAGCGCAGGGGGGGTGTGAGATCTGACTGTCAATCACAGATCGGGCACACGCCACCCCTCGCGCACGTTACAATCAGAGCTCTGGTTACAACTTACAATCACATGCAGTTCGCAGAAGTTCGCGCAGTAACGAAGAGTGATGGCGGAAAATCAAGTAAGCTCATTTAGAGTATAAATGACGTTACCAATTGCAATCTATCGGTATATTAGCCAGGACAGCATACCTCCAAATACTCCATGGCGTTGATGGATGCTGATGAGACGGGCGCGTTCTGAGTTCACTGAAAATCTGGTGCACACGCACTGACGAGGGGCGGGGCATGAGAGTTGTAAACATTCAAAATTTTCCTAAATCCACTCAATCTGCCAGACTTGCCGACTGGAGCTTTAAAGGCACAATTATATTTACCGAAACAACACACACCGAACTTCATAAAAGCCTTTAAAATACCTTTACCAATCTAATTAAGCTAATTTTCTTAATCCTATGTGAATGGCAGAATAACCGCCAAATCACGTGACATATCAGTTCATGTAAAACGAAAAATGGAAGCAATACCGAGAGAATAACTGCCAGTCTTTCCTGTACAGGTGTGCTTGTTGCGCTTGGTTTCATGCCGACTCGATTTGTCACCAAGACCAGAAATACAAGCTTACAATGACCAAAAAAAAATCCTTCCTTGGATTGATTTTCCTTCTTGCATCTCAAGACATTCTGAATTCATAGTCTTTTCCTATGTGTAAATTCAATTATTTACATAAACTCTCCACTTATACAGGAGGCCTATGGCCGGTTTCACAGAAAAGGCTTTCCCAGACTAAAATGCATGTTAGAACTGTTTTAACTTAAAAACAACTTGCACAGACATATTAAAATATGTCAGTGCCATTGTTTTGTCTCAAATGTCAAACCAGTAATGTGTTTTAATAAGGGACATTTATAAAAGCTACTTAGGCTAAGTGTCCTAATTGGACTAAGTTCTAAGCCTTGTCTGTGAAACCGGGGACTATAGACTGTTAGCTTTATTGTTAAGTTTTTGGTCAGGATAAACCTAATTTACATTTTTATTTTCATGTTTTTCTTAATTACCTCCAGCTGTACTGGGAAAACTGCCCTTCTACTATGTCCACAAGTGTCTGTTTCTTAAAACAGTCCTGGTGTAAAATTAGTATGTGTGTGTGTGTATAGTGTGGTGCTGAGACATATGTGAGTAAGTGCGAGTGAAGGGGGGAGGGTGTCAACACTATCCACGTCTGCATGACCAACAAGATGACCAAAACAGGAAGCATAACCGAGACAAGACAGCTTTGTATTACTCTATTCACTGAAATCTACACCCATTTCCTATATTTCTTAACTTGTGCTTTGTGTGTGCTCAGAAACAAAGACTACAATAACCGTTAAAAGTGTCTGTTCAGACTGTCTTAGCAAAGTAATGCGACATTGCCATTATAAAACCCACAAGAAAACAAATAACAAACCTTACCAGCTATTTAGCTGGTTACTTGTTTAGGAGAAACTTAAAAAAACAACTCCAAAGCAACCTATGGTTTAGGCCCAAGGAATTACCTGGTAAATATCTGGTAAAAGCTAATCTTTAGCATTCCCATTCACCTCAATGGGAGTTTCTCAATTGGCACATGAAATTAACTCCAGAGTACGTGACCTAAATGCTGCCATCTTGAATTCAAGTGCAGTTAGTTCTGGAAATATTTTTGAGCCATATATGTCATGTGACTGATCATTCTACAGTATTTAGCACAGGGGTTTCTAAACTCTGGCCCTCGAGGTCACTTTCCTACAGAGTTTAGCTCCAATCTTGATCAGACTCACCTGTTTATAACTTTCTAGAAAAATCCTGAAGACCTTGATTAGCTTGTTCAGGTGTGTTTGATTAGGGTTGGAACAACACTTTGAAGGAAAGTGGACCTCGAGGGCCAGAGTTAAGAACTCCTGTTTTAGGGGCCGTTTACACAACACAATTATCCACTAAAACCATTTTATTTCTTTTGGCCGTTTATTAACACAACAACGGCAAATGGGGGCCTGAAAACGCAAGCTTTTGAAACCGAGTTTCAAAGTGGCGTTATCGTCTCCATGATTTTTGAAAATGGTAACGTCATGCGCA